AGGGAAAGTGACCTCACTGACCTTTGGGTTTTGTTCAACTTTAAGATCCCAAGCCACACTGCAAGACTTAGTCAGGATCAAAATGTGTGATCTTTGTATTAATGAAAATTCATTCATCCTCTCAGTTAATGCACTCTGTGCTGGAAACCTAAATATTGTTTTTTCTTCTGAGAATATTGATTACCCTATTGTGGTCATGAATAATATCACGTGCTGACGGTTTTATAGAAATACTGTTTGAAGTACTTGGCTAAAAAGTAGTCCTTGTCATCAGTTCTTATTCTTTATCCTTGGAATCTCCAAGAGATTTAAGTTTGGGAAACACTTTTTAAAGTTCTTTTCTTGTAGTGAAAGAATGAAAGCTTTGGGTAGCTCCTAGTCTAGATGGGCTATATCAGTTGGCATGATGCAATGCCATGAAGCAAACCATGTAGAAGCTACTTGGCTTCACTCAGACAAAAGGTCTTTCTACTACACCCACCTGCAATACTTCAACATATAAAGCCTGCTTGCAAATATGTGTCCTTGATCACAGGGTGAACAGAACAAGAGTGCTCAAATAGGTGCACTACCCTTCTTGAGAATGTAACCAGAAGTGTGCTGTGAAAGCCATCTATGCAATATCTAGGTACTTTGGTACCTGCATTGAGTAACACATTGCCATCACTTGGGTGTTACTCTTCGTTAAGAGAAAATGTGGTTTGATGACCATATTTCCAATTGGGGATCTCTACCAAGATGTCAGTGACTCTTCTGTGTACAAGGCAGGCTAAAAACTGTAGCTTTGGTATCCAGCGACAGTGATTTCTAGTGTTGAGAGCTAGAAGACAGGAAATTTAACATCAGGATTATTTCAAAAACCATGAATGTTTAGTTATCATATTTTTATTTAGTTCTTTTCCAATGCATAAAATGTGTGATGAAGACATATAGAAAATTACAAACCAAGATAAAAATACAATTTACTTGCTCAAGAATGCCCTTGCCTAATGTCATATTCATCACCTGACATATAGAAGGAGAAAAAGGATTTTGAGATACAGTCATTTTAATCAAGGGGAAAGCTTATGCCTCAATATCTATTAGAAACACTTTTTTTTTTTTTTCTCAGAAACTGACTACATTCTGTTTGTAGAGAGACCCTGCTTTTCTGGGAGGGAACAACATGTGGATGATGGTTCTTGAAATAATTTGGAAAGAACTGAATCTGATTGCACATTGAAGTCATGCCAAGGCTTGAATTGTATCCCTTTTTATTCAGTCATCATTTTTTCTTGTTTATTAGATTCAGAACTTGCTCTGATGTATAATGATGAATCTGTGTTGGAAAACCATCACCTTGCTGTGGGTTTCAAACTGCTACAAGAAGAACACTGTGACATCTTCCAGAATCTTACCAAGAAGCAACGCCAGACTCTTAGAAAAATGGTCATTGACATGGTAAAGTTTCAGCCTTGCTATATCCCTTGCTTATTTTTGTCATTATCTCTGATAGACTGAATTTATTAAGAGATTTCATTTTCTTTTTACCCAAGGTCTTAGCAACGGATATGTCCAAACATATGAGCCTGCTCGCAGACCTTAAGACAATGGTCGAAACGAAAAAAGTTACAAGTTCAGGCGTTCTTCTTCTGGACAACTACACTGATCGTATACAGGTATTTGATGAAATCTCTTGACTTAACATAAAACTAAACCAAACTAATCAAAAAACAAAGCAAACATAAGTTTATTAGTTCCATGTGCTGGATTACTACTACAGCTCTGAGCTTATTTTAAGAATAAGCCAAGGAAAATTGATGTTCAAATGTTTTCTCTAATTTATGAGAAGACATAATCCTATTTACTAAATTGTTTTAAAAATGAATTGCAAAATCTATTTGTAATAAGACATCCTTGACTATTGGTCCCCAAAGATTGTGTTTGAATATAAATTCCATTGATTTGAAGTGTGGCGGGTCTGTTTTGGTTATACAAATCGCCATCAGCTGCTCTTTTCTTTCCACAAGTGGAAAATATTAAACATCATCTTCTTTGAGTAATTCTTTGCATTCTTTCCAAACTGAGGAAAGAAAATGATAGCAGCATCTGACCTCGAATATCCCTTCCAGTTTTTAAATTCAAGGACTGTCAGTGTAAGAAGACACACATTTTTCCCTCTGGGGCTCTATCATGTGAAATAACCAACCCCGGCCAGCACCATTGTAGTACTGCCTTTTTTGGTGTGTGCACCGTAATTATAATGCAACTAAATGTTCTTGGATTTGTTACCAAATGTACTAATATGAGAAGGATGATGTGTCCTGGCAGTATTTACTACTAATTTAATGAGATTTCCAAACTTGATGATTTTTAGGTACTTCGCAACATGGTACACTGTGCCGACCTGAGCAACCCCACCAAGTCCTTGGAATTGTATCGGCAATGGACAGACCGCATCATGGAGGAATTCTTCCAGCAAGGAGACAAAGAACGGGAGAGAGGGATGGAGATTAGCCCAATGTGCGATAAACATACAGCCTCTGTGGAAAAATCCCAGGTATCTAAATACGAGATTTTCAAAGTTTTTGTGAGGTCTGCTGATGACAGAACTGAAAGGTTCTATTTGGTTTCTCTCTTTTAACAGCATGGGGATGGAGCGGGTAGTGGTCTTCAAAAAAATCACAGAAAATGCATACTATAAAAAAATTATGTACAGATTTGAAAATATTTTGCACCAAAATAAACTCCTACTTTAGTTTTTCTTTTTACTTTTTGAAGTCCCCTCATGAATATAGATGAAATGATAAGGCAGCAACTATTCATTCAGTTCCATTATACCCACGAGTCATTGTCTTTTCCATTACACTCAAATTTCACAGAATAGAGATAAAGCAGTTATCAGAAACCCATTGAATTTTGGACTGTATGTCCTCAAATGGTTTAAGTAGTTTTCTGTGGTTTTAGCAAGTACAGCTGATTGGCTGTCTCCTCCATCCTGCTGCTCCAGATTCCTCCTAGCTCTGTCTTTACCCAGGAGCTCTATCCCTCATTCTTGCTTCCAGCAGCCTCTGCAAGCTTTTGCTCTATAACAAACACACTGCCACCGTCACCATAGGTAGTCTCTCTTACCTCATAGACAAAGCCCTGTCTGGTGTCCCCTTCCAAGGTTGCTTCTATGCTTCTGGAAATAAGCTCTGTTCATGTCCAGAGCAACAACTTCTCTGTTTACTAAGGACAAGAGACAATACTCTGAAGGTGAGGACAGAGGGGTGCCAGACACCAATAGCTGCAAAATATATTGCACTAGAAGGTATCAGTATCCTGATAGTTTCAAATGACATGGAAATGTCATTTGTTTCAGAACAAGAAATGCGCTAAGTCAGGTGACTATGATCAAAAACAGATACATAGGCCGCCCAAGGTTTTTAATCACAAAAACTTTTTTTTTTGGTTTTTGGGTTGTTGTTTTTTTCCCCACTACCTCCAAAGCCCAAAATTGTATTTACTTACATCAGTGTACAGTCTTTTGCAATTATTACTTTGTTGCTTTTTAGATAATCCCCATTAAATGAGTTTAAAATGTGTGAAAGTATCCCAGAGTCTAATACACTGTAAAAGTGCATAATAATAAGGTTAAGTTATTCATGACCAGTTCAAATATCCTAAAGTCTTAACTGGAACAAGATGTAAATAACTCTAGAGGAATGACATCCTTTTATTAATTGGTTGTCTCTTTATATGATGATCTGGGTGGTCTTCCACACATTTTTCCCATACATTATCTTTTTTGAATCCCCAAAGAGGCTAGTGACAGATAAAGCCAGTGTTTCCCCACCACGTCAGGGCTCATCAGTGACCCAGCTGCTTTCTACCCAAAACTTTTCATTCTTCATCACTGTGGACTGATCTCCCTGTTGCCATGTCTACACTGGTGCTCCCCCCAGATGGACTCTGTTGAACATTGTCTGATGATTCTGGAAATACAGCTCTTGACTAGGTGCTGTGAGAAGGTAGAGAGCTTTCTCATCCTTTGACCTAGAAGATAAGCAACTGTGGTCACCTGACCAAAAAGTTCTGAGCATTTCTTAGCAGAAGCAAACCAAAGTAAAAAGGAAATGACTGCATGGTGTTGAACTTATTTTATTTCCTCCATTGCCTTGAGCCTGTTATTTCAAGTCCCTGGAAAATACCTTGAGAATAGTCTCTAAAATCCTCTAACACACAGAAGTATGAGGGAAGAAAAAGAAGTGGGTGGAAGCTAGAGAATCATCTGAATCATCCACAGTTGAGTTCTTATAACTAATGCAGATCAGAGATGGCATGCCTGGTGACTCTTGTTTGCTAAGGCTAGGAAATCACCGGGGGCAGGCCATGACGTTGAGGGGACAGAGGGATCTATTGACAGATATTACATGTGTCCAAAATTTGTGTGCATAATACAACTTGAGTGTATTAAGTGACTGGCCAAACACCAGAATGTTAGTAAAGGAAAGCTTCCAGTAGTATGAAAGATAGCTATTATGCCCCATGGGTGCCCTTGCCTGTCTCCCCCTGAATTCCAACCCAGCATCTAGCCAGCTCCCCAGACCATGACAGGGGAATTCCATTCTCTCATTCACGGGTGCCTATTCTCTTTCAACCTGCCCCCACCCCCAGAGTTTCCTGTTTGTCCGACAATGTGGAGGTCAGCATAAGGCCAAATAGCTAGCTCATGCAGGATGCATAGCCCCTGGGTAAACCATAACACAGCATAAGTCTCATACTTAATTCACAGGAACACTGGCAGAAGGAACTGCTTAATTGTTTTTATTTTCCCTTCTTTCTCCTGATGGAAGTGACTATGTGCCTTATAGATTGAGAACAATTGCAGGCATGTCCACAGAGGAGATATTTGTTTTGTTTAGGGGCTTGAAGTATTTTCAAGTGATTTACCAACCCCTCGACAAGCAAAAAATGTTACAGAACTTGAGAGATTCCAGAGCAGTCCAAGCCAACTCCTGTCATTTCGGATAGGCAGTACATTTTCAAGTTATCAGGGAAAGAATGTTGAGTCAGAACACATTCGACCTGGGGCTTCCTTCTACAGAGAATGACTCACAGAATCCAAGCAGTGACGAAGTCATTCCCAGCCATGGTTACTTCCAGACTTCTTATCTGGCACACGTAAAAGGAAAAGCAGTCTGTAGTAGGAGACGACCACAGGCTTTGGAATCAGACAAAGCTGGGATTAAGTCCCAGCTCCACCACTTACTAGTTAGGCAGCCTCTGGCAGGATGTCTAATCTCTCTGGGTCTTAGTTTCTGCCTTTGTTCATGGAAGATAGCAATGCTTACTTTGCAGGATTAAGAGGGCTCACGTGTGTGTTGCATCCAGTACAGGGCATACCATAGAGTAAGAGCTCTAGTGATGGACTCTATTATTATTAGTCTCTATAAGATTGTTTTTTTTTCTCTTTCTTTGCTTGGAAATCAGGATGGGGTGCTTGGTTTTCATAGGCCCATCACAATAATAGATGTACACCGTTATCTTTCTGCAGGTTGGTTTCATTGACTACATCGTCCATCCATTGTGGGAGACCTGGGCAGATCTGGTACAGCCTGATGCTCAGGACATTCTGGACACATTAGAAGATAATAGGAACTGGTATCAGAGCATGATACCCCAGAGTCCCTCCCCACCGCTGGATGAGCAGAACAGAGACTGCCAGGGTCTGATGGAGAAGTTTCAGTTCGAACTGACCCTTGAAGAGGAAGATTCCGAAGGACATGAGAAGGAGGGTGAGGGCCATAGCTATTTCAGCAGCACGAAGACACTATGTGTGATAGATCCAGAAAATAGAGATTCACTGGGAGACACTGACGTGGACATTGCAACAGAAGACAAGTCCCCGGTCGACACATAATCTCTCCGCGTGGAGAGGAACATTCCACCCTTGACAAGCATGCCAGCTGTGTGGTAGGGCCAACCCACCATGGGGGCCAAGGCCTACACGGGACAAAGGCCAGCTGGCCTTTCCAGTTACTTGAGTTTGGAGGCACAATGAAAGACCATGAAGCAAACAGCCGCTCAGGAAATTCCTCGGTCGACTTGCCTTGCTTGCAGGCGTGGCGAAGAGCTGAAGCTTTACGTGGTACTGAAGACCAGTCCTTACCATGACTAAATGGCTTGAAAATGGAAGATGCAAAATGGAGAGATCGTTCTGCGCTAACTTTTGGGACACCAAAGTCCCCGCTAGTGACTGAACTTACTAACGACTTCATTTATGAATCTGCTCACCTTGTCCCCTTGTCTGCCAACCTGTGTGCCTTTTTTGTAAAGCATTTTCACGTCTTTCAAATGCCTGTTGAATACCTAGAGTTTAGTATCAACTTCTACACAGATAAGCATTCAAAGTTGACATAATCTTTTTTGACTCTTTCTGGGAAAAAAAAAAAAAGGAAAGAAAACGGTCTTCCTTCTTTCTAGGGCAATATCTTTCACTTTACTGCAGTTACTTTTGCAAACAGACAGAAAGGATACACTTCTAACCACATCTGACTTCCTTTCCTTGTTGTCTGTTCCAGCTCCACAGCTGCCCTGACCACTTATCTCTGTCTGCCTGCTTTGAACAGCATTTTTTCTCCACTAGGGTTTCACTTTTTTGCTGTAAAAAGAATAAAGTCGAACACACTAGGGGGTAGGAAGTGGTAGTTGTGTTGTTCACCATAACAATCTGCATAAACTCAGCATCTAAGGCAGTGTGCCTGCTGTGTCCGGGACCCCCCTCTGCCACCGGGAGTTGCACGGTGCCCTGTCCTGGTCGTTGCCTCTTCTCTGCACCCAGTTATGCTGTTTTCAATCTAATGCTGCCTTCTTTCTCTTGCACTGCCTTCCTTGCTAACACCTCCATTCCTGTTTATAACCATGTATTTATTACTTAATGTATATAATGTAATGTTTTGTAAGTTATTAATTTATATATATCTAACATTGCCTGCCAACGGTGGTGTTAAATTTGTGTAGAAAACTCTGCCTAAGAGTTGCGACTTTTTCTTGTAACGTTTTGTATTGTGTATTATATAACCCGAACATCACTTGAGAGAAACATACAGCCCCCTCAGCAGTGAGGACAGGAGTGGGGTGGGGGGCTTTATCGTAGGGTCTGCCCCTTTCCCTATCTGAGTTGCTAATACTGCACAACCCCTTGATGAACCAGTTTTGCAAACAAGATTCTCACCTTAGATACTAAATGGTTTATACTGAGCTTTTACTTTTGTATAGTTTGATAAGGGTAGGGGGCCGGGGAGGTAGTTTTTACCCATGTTCTATCCAAATCTATGTATGCATGGGTTGGGTGTCACTGGGTTCTACTATAATTGTGGCTTTGGTTCCAAAAGAAACACTACATTTGCTCCCAGATGATTCTTCTGCGTATTCCCAAACTACCGACTTTGAAGAGCTAGCCTCCTGCCTGCCAGTAAGCAGGACTGTCAAGTTCCAATTTATTACAAAAGAAAACAATAAAACAATGTGAATTTCTATAATGTGAACCGATGTAGTAAATTATGCAAATGTGAAGCTTCCTCTCATAACACTTGTTAGGCCCCTTCCCGGGGTCAGTTTCAGTTTGTAAAATGTGTTTCATGCTTTCAGTTCAGCATTGTGACTCAATAGTTAAAGAAAATGGCACAAATGTGCATGACCAATGGGTATGTATGTCTATGAACACTGCATTGTTTCAGGTGGACATTTTATTGTTTCAAAAGTTTCTCACAGTGTATGTTATAATATTATTATATATTGTGCTCCAATGCATTCTTCAGAGACTTTTATATGAGGTGAATAAACAACAGCATGATTAGCTTAGACTGTAGGCCCTGTTATTTCGTGGTTAATTCTGACATATTAAAAGCAGAGTATTTTCTCTTCTCTCCTACCATACTCACAAAGAAAGCAAACCACTTTGCCTGCCAATAGTCACAACTGAGGTTTCAGAATCTGTGTCCAGAAAGTCCCCAAGCTTGGAACGTTTCATTTTTTTCTTAGCAACTCTTCACCCAGCTCAGTGGTGCGGGAAGGGAGTTGGTGAAGGAACACAAACAAACCACTTTACTCATCTCAAAGTGTTTCCTTCTATCTCCTTAAGGATCTGAAAAGTTTAATCCAATAGGTAAACAAAGGGAATCTCTAGCATGGCTAGGTCCTCTAGGAAAGCGAATCACAGGGCTATAGAATGTATGATGTAGTCAGTCCCATTGATTTCACACAGGAAGAATCTGATGTCTAAAGAGTCGTCTTAAGCCACAATCCACAGAGCATGGTAGCCATTTATGTTTTCTCAGTGATCAGGAAGTCCAAGTCTCTTGTTGACCGAATGAATAGTCATGTTTGTCTTCCTGAAAATGGCTATTTTAAATATTACAATTAAGAGACCAGCAGATGGTATAATGGTTATGTAACTGGACTTCCATATGGGTGACCATGGCTCGAGTCCTGAAACCAGTGGCTTAAAACTCAGGCCGGGCACATGTGCATGTATGTCCAAGATCCCAAGAGGAGAATGGAGAGAAGGAATTGTAGTGTGGTCACCCCCCACGGGGTGATTTCTCACCTTCTGCCTCTCTTTCTGGTGAATGCACATGTCCCATAGCAAAAATCTCTCTCTCTAAAAAAAAAGAAAAAAAATCATAATTGAAATATTTTACTTTGTTGAAATCCTCAAGTCAGCATTAAAACAAAATTTATTCTGAGAAGTATGTCTGTGTCCTGGCAAAGGCAACAAATGTAAGTCATTGGTTGGCCCATACTAATTTAACCACAAAGAGGTGGTCTATGAACCAGTAACAGGGTCTGCTCTAGAACTCCACATGATAGACTGAAATTCGTGTACATCATTGTAAGGACAGGAAGATGCTCTACCATTACAGAACGAGCTTGCCTGCTGGTTGCAGAGCTAATGTTTCCAGCACTTTCCATCGTCCTTGATTTCTGATGGCACCTCACCATATCTGAGCTCCTACAGATTGAGTGACAAAAGTAGACTGGTTACAATAGCCATATGTATGACTTTTATAATGCCTAGAGCCATAAATACTAGACAAAAATATTTTTCTATGTCAAATTGCATCATGACTTCCCAACGACCCAATATTTATAAATATTTGCAGGTCTGTTTTTACTGAGAAGTGATTCTTAACTCTTTCTGCAAATGAGAATCATTTGGGAAATAAATATTTTTTAAAATATTGATTTTGGGGCCCCATCTTCCTCCTTAGATTCCTGCTTGAATTGGTCTTTGGGAAAGCTTTAGTCATTGGATTTTTAAAATTCGCCTTAAGTAATTCTAACATACAACTGCATTAGAGAATCTTGCTCTGGAACTAACATACATAACAATCATACTTGTTGCTAAGATTTTTACTCCATTGTCTTCAGACATTCATTGTGTACCTACCATGACCAGCATTGCCATGCCCAATATAATTTTTGACAGTAATTGGGGTTATACTCTAGTTTTACCTTTCTCACTGACTCTAACTTTCATATAAGATTGAACACCACAATTGGACTAGTTTCCTACTTGGAAATCTCAAGAAGAGAGAACCGAGGCAGAACTCAGGAGTTCAAGGCTAGCAACTCTTCACCCAGCTCAGTGGTGCGGGAAGGGAGTTGGTGAAGGAACACAAACAAACCACTTTACTCATCTCAAAGTGTTTCCTTCTATCTCCTTAAGGATCTGAAAAGTTTAATCCAATAGGTAAACAAAGGGAATCTCTAGCATGGCTAGGTCCTCTAGGAAAGCGAATCACAGGGCTATAGAATGTATGATGTAGTCAGTCCCATTGATTTCACACAGGAAGAATCTGATGTCTAAAGAGTCGTCTTAAGCCACAATCCACAGAGCATGGTAGCCATTTATGTTTTCTCAGTGATCAGGAAGTCCAAGTCTCTTGTTGACCGAATGAATAGTCATGTTTGTCTTCCTGAAAATGGCTATTTTAAATATTACAATTAAGAGACCAGCAGATGGTATAATGGTTATGTAACTGGACTTCCATATGGGTGACCATGGCTCGAGTCCTGAAACCAGTGGCTTAAAACTCAGGCCGGGCACATGTGCATGTATGTCCAAGATCCCAAGAGGAGAATGGAGAGAAGGAATTGTAGTGTGGTCACCCCCCACGGGGTGATTTCTCACCTTCTGCCTCTCTTTCTGGTGAATGCACATGTCCCATAGCAAAAATCTCTCTCTCTAAAAAAAAAGAAAAAAAATCATAATTGAAATATTTTACTTTGTTGAAATCCTCAAGTCAGCATTAAAACAAAATTTATTCTGAGAAGTATGTCTGTGTCCTGGCAAAGGCAACAAATGTAAGTCATTGGTTGGCCCATACTAATTTAACCACAAAGAGGTGGTCTATGAACCAGTAACAGGGTCTGCTCTAGAACTCCACATGATAGACTGAAATTCGTGTACATCATTGTAAGGACAGGAAGATGCTCTACCATTACAGAACGAGCTTGCCTGCTGGTTGCAGAGCTAATGTTTCCAGCACTTTCCATCGTCCTTGATTTCTGATGGCACCTCACCATATCTGAGCTCCTACAGATTGAGTGACAAAAGTAGACTGGTTACAATAGCCATATGTATGACTTTTATAATGCCTAGAGCCATAAATACTAGACAAAAATATTTTTCTATGTCAAATTGCATCATGACTTCCCAACGACCCAATATTTATAAATATTTGCAGGTCTGTTTTTACTGAGAAGTGATTCTTAACTCTTTCTGCAAATGAGAATCATTTGGGAAATAAATATTTTTTAAAATATTGATTTTGGGGCCCCATCTTCCTCCTTAGATTCCTGCTTGAATTGGTCTTTGGGAAAGCTTTAGTCATTGGATTTTTAAAATTCGCCTTAAGTAATTCTAACATACAACTGCATTAGAGAATCTTGCTCTGGAACTAACATACATAACAATCATACTTGTTGCTAAGATTTTTACTCCATTGTCTTCAGACATTCATTGTGTACCTACCATGACCAGCATTGCCATGCCCAATATAATTTTTGACAGTAATTGGGGTTATACTCTAGTTTTACCTTTCTCACTGACTCTAACTTTCATATAAGATTGAACACCACAATTGGACTAGTTTCCTACTTGGAAATCTCAAGAAGAGAGAACCGAGGCAGAACTCAGGAGTTCAAGGCTGCAGTAATCTGCAGTGAGGACATATACCATGTCTGGGGCTCACTCCTGTTTCTAAATGTCTGGTATCCTACCCAGCACAGATCTGATGCTCAAACATTGTTGAGTACATCTGGATGTTGATGACCGTAAAACGTCAGTTAACAAAAAGATGAAGAGAAAGTACATGCTAAGTAATTTAACTCCCAGTGTTTCACACTCCATTGCAATGATCTGAGACTTGTCTCTCCACACAATACTAAACATCTCCAGGATAGAACAATATTTTTTGTTTGGTCTCTTATTTAATCTTCATATTCCTTTTTAACAAACACTATGCTGGCTCCAAGAGAAAGGAGTGTCCAGTGATGTTTGTTGAGCTAATGTCCCAAGAAACAAAGTGAAACCCTTTCATTAAACTTAGTTGTGAAATATATCCATATCTACTTGATTTTCTTCAGGAAGGAGTAAAATATACTGAGGAAAGCATAGTTTGACAAAACTATGTTCCCTTTCTAACTGTGGGAATATGGGGAAATATATGTTTTTCTAACTCTAAGTTTTCTCATGATTAGAGTTTAAAAATATGGGACCAGCAGTTGACATAATGGTTATGTCGCTGGGATCCCATGTAGTCAACTGCGGTTCAAGTCCCAGACCCAGTGGCTTAAACTCATGCCGGGTGCGTGTGCATGCATGCCCAAGATCCCAAGAGGAAAATGGAGGAGAAGGGATTGCAGCATGGCCATCCCCCCTGGGGGGTGGGTGGGGAGTGATTTCTCTCTTTCTATCTCTCTCTCTCTCTCTGTCTTTCTGGGGAGCACACAAAACCTATAGAAAAAACCTCTCCCCCCCCAAAAAAAAGTTAAAAAATAAACAGCTAAAGATGAAATCAGACATAATATTAAATGTAGCAGGCATTTAATAAACCTGTGTTGTATGGATGTGTATACTCATGGATTAATAAATAGTTAAAAACTTGAAAAATTGGGAACCAGCAGTTAGCGTAATGGCTATGTCGCTGGACTCCCACGTAGTCGACCGCGGTTCGCGTCCCGGACCCGGTGGCTTAAAACACGCCGGGCGCGTGTGCGTGCGTGCCCATGATCCCGAGAGGAGAATGGAGGAGAAGGGATTGCGGCGTGACCATCCCCCCTAGGGGGTGATTTCTCGCTTTCTGTCTCTATGTCTCTCTCTGTCTGTCTGGCGAGCGCACGCGCCCTATAGCGAAAATCTCTCTCAAAAAAAAAAAAAAAAAAAACTTGAAAAATTAACTTCTGTCTGAAAAGCATAATTTAGCAACATATTTTAATTAACTTAGGTCTTTTGAAATCAAGTTTCAATTAATCTAGATGTTTCTTCATATATGTGAAGATTCTAGGAGAACAGATCATTTCAATTTACCCATGTGGAACTATTCTGACACTGATAGGCTCACTGAAGTGGAAGGAAATGTAAATTGTATTATCCACCATCTCCCAGGCTATCAAATATCTCTAAAAACAGGTAGATGGAGCCAGCAGGTGGCATGGTGGTTAAGCGCATTGGATTTCCACGTGGCTGACGGTGGTTCAAGTTCTGGACCTGGCAGCTTGCTTTCTCTCTCTCTCTCTCTCTCTCTCTCTCTGTCTCTCTCTGGTCAAATTAAAATAATAATGATGATGAATAAAAT